CAACTTTCTGCTGTACAAATGACTTTCCTCCCTTTCCCGTAATTACACACTATTACTGTTCAATATAACACACACGTTATGAATGAAACGCCGTTTTAAGGGGGTTGGCAGCGTTTGGTTGAACCACCTAACAACCACCACTTTCTTTCACACTTATTATAGTTATCTCTATTTTTTGTTGGGAATCTTATAACTTTAGTATATCAGTGATTTTGTTTTTAAATAATAAACATAAAGCTGATGGTACTGTTACATGTCGACGAGATTTCTACTGTGATTACTTACAGTCAAAGTAAATTAAAAGCACTATAATTAATTTAAAATAACTAGATTGAACTAAGGGGCAATTTGCTGAATAATCATAAGAGAAAGGGAAATAAAGAATATAGCCATCAAATAGGTGATTTGACAATTACACACGCTTGTGGACGATTTTGTCCTTACAATCGCAGACGCGTCATGTTGAGCGAGTAGAACATTACAGCCATAACACTGTGAGTTTATTAAGTAAGTGAATGTACAAAGAAATGTAAGTGACTACAGTATGACAGTTGTAGTATAGGAAAGTGAGAAACGTTTTATTATTCAACTTGAGCTGTATATTGGGGGGGGGGGGTAAGTGGAAGAAAGGTAAGGAAAGCTTACGTTGAGTGATAGTGGGTATACATTATCTACTATCAATAATATACTATAGTACATGAAATGTATATGTGGAAGATGAGATCGGCACGTAAAAACATGAGGGATAAGCGTATACGATGATGTTCACCAGAGAGAATTGGATAGGGACCAAAATATGGTAACTCTTACACCAAACACGCACACTGAAACCACTTATATGGGGGCAAAAAAATACTATACTATATACATGATAGGATTGTACAAGATGGAATGGAAACAAAATCATCAAGAAATTGGAGGATTGTTTAGATGAAACATAGCATACATGCATGCGACAAAAGTTGGAACCGCATGTAGTATAGAAGAAGACTATACTATAACCGCGATAGTATTGTAAAAAATGGAATGTAAACAAAATCAGTAAGAAATTAAAGGTCTGTTTCATAACAGACTGTAAAGGTTTTGTGGGGTGTCACCTGAGTTCATGGCCACGAACTGGCAGAGTCTAGGAGGGGTTCATTGTTTCGTACAAAGCGATTATATTGTTAAGTAATGAAAGAGTAATATGAGGTTCAAGTTAGAGACTTCGGTAAATACAACATTGCGTAACTGTGAAGATAATACGACAACAAGTGAGAAAGTTGAAATGAATTGGAGTCGTCCGTAAATGATATGGATACTCCAATAGTGCGCACAAAGTGGTAAACCCATGGTGTAGACAAGAACCATCGTCAACATGATACATGTTGCAGAATGTACTATAATAGACTATACTACACATGAAATAGTGTAGGACCGAATGCGGGTATACTAGAAAAACAGTGTAGCACCAGATAGTAAAATATGGTAAAGCAAAATAAGCAGGATGTATAAACTGCAGGTGTACAGTACGTGCGAAGGTGAAGTCCAATACAGTAGCATATATATTATAGAAGATGTATTTGAACATCCAAACTTACAAAACATGTATTACACAATACAATAATACAATACATACACATAGAATACTATGTTTAAGTTCCGTTGAGAGGAAACAGTACACTATGTACTCCAGAAATTGGCAATCCAACACGCTATACTATGTAATACAGTACATAGTATTGGTTACCACCGTGCAAATACTACATCACGTTAGCAAGCAATGAAAATGTTTCAAAATTGGCTGGCGTAACTGCATATACGTGTCTTATACAAGCACAACAGAAAAGTATGGAAAGAGATTAGGAATTACTCTAGTACATGTTGAATAGTATAGGTACACAGAACTAGCCAAGGACTCCATTGAAAATAACAGTCGAAAACGTCCCAATGGTTACAAGAAAGAAACTTCATAAACGTCGATAGTAATATCCGGGTAAACACCAAAGTACAACATGAATTCAATCGGCAAGAGTACAAACAAACTATACTATTGGTATTATTTTATAGTATTTGTGACAACAATACGAATGGTGGAGCACTTTAGCAACCAATGAAAGGGAAGTAGATATACACATGATCGGTTATAAAAATTTGTAGGTTTTATGTATTGGTATACATAAACGTCCACCACAACTCATACTTCTTAAGCGTCACCTGCTGACATGACAATATCTAATGGGAAAACATAACTGAAACTCTATGGCTTTCCATTAACATAATTTTTCTAAACTATGACTCTGCAAGCTTCTCCTTCGAGGCATCAGATAGAACGTCTTTTATAACTTACACCCATCTTAAATTGAAGTAGTTGTTTATTCTTTTTTCGGCCGGTTGGTTCGAACCCCCTCTCAAACAAGTGTTCCGGTAAGCCAAAATCCTCCATAATCTACAAGGATAGACAAACGTTAACTCACTAACTATAATAGAAAAAAAAATCTCGGTACTTCGACTTGCAAAACAGTTTTCACAGCTATAGACGTCTATACATTAATAAGTGAAGACTATACTATTTTCTCCATGTTTAGTCTGCGTTACTGACATACATTTTCCAAAATTTATAAACATAAATACTATACTCAATTTCCAATAGAATGGTCTATGTATGGTCATTAAGAACCCGTTTTCAACCTTACAACTTTTAACGCTTGCACGTTTATTTCTCGAAACAAGTACGCTAAGTTACCCAATTTAACTGTGGTAACCACATACATTTCCTATTCAATTAACCTGTTAATAATAATGAATACCAATCAATACAACTATATACTACAAACCAATATATATAGCCTATTGACAAAACTCTTCACCGCGAAGCTGAGATCACATGATACCGACATCCAATAACAAAAGCAATTCTCTAACTTTCTATTCTCTAAACACATATTTATAGTCCACTAAAAACACTTTAATATTTTCTTCGGACACCAACCATTGGAGACACTTAATTTTTCAATAGTAGACAGTAATACACCAACCTGCCATCCATCTACTACCTACCTACGTACCTACGTACTACAATTGTTTCTTCCTAGTTCTATAGACGTATATCCATGGAAACATGTGAAGGCTATACTATTTTTCTCATTGTATAGTCTGCGTGCTTGACATAAATCTAAAAGGTTTTACTACCTCCGTACCATCCTACTACACTTGTTTCTTCGTAGTTTTATACTATTCAGACATATGTAGACACCTCAACAACTTTGCGAAACAGTATACCCCAAAAATAAACTGATATACATGGTACCTCAGAATGACTATACTCAATTTCCAATAGAAATGTCTATCTACCCCAATTTAACCGTGATATACTATCACACACATATATATAGACACATACATATCCTTTTGAAATCAATTGGTCGGAAAAGTAACAATCGAGACGCTGCATATTTCAAATATTTGACAGTAACACACCAGTCCGACAGACACCGACTACCGCAATGCATCAAAGAAAAGATTCACATTTCTGATTATAGCTTATAGTTGACGGATTCAACCACGATAACGGCGGGGAAAAAAACCTAAATGACTGGACTGTGGTTATAACCCAATCGACGTAGTAATATGGTCGAGGAAGTAAAATCAACTTATTATTGAAGGCAAATTGGGGATTTACCTATTAGATGATGATTATACTTGTCTTCTGAGTCGTAATCACACTATTCCCAACTTAAACTCTAACGCCGGTGGGACGCGTTTCCGGTGCCCAAGTGACGACGACTATTCTTTTCACGGTTGAGATATAGAACTCTGATTTCTTCTTCCTTCAGTCATCTTCCTCTTCTTTTTTTCAATTTGTGACCCGATATAAGCTATTTCAATTAGAATTTAGAAAAGGGGACGGAAGCGATAGTTCTCTTTCACGCGCAGGCTGAGGGTAGAAGGGAGAATAAGTGGTATATTATGTATCATAACATAGCTATTGGGTTACTATAGCTATTTACTTTTTTTTTTTGGGAGAAATGGTTATCGGCCCAAATTTCCCTTGAACTAAAGTGTTTCCAAAAAAAAAAAACTAGATTGAACTAAACAAACAAAACAAATAAAATAACGAGAGCTATTTGATATAATAATCTTTAAAGGTTAGTTTTCAGTGAATTGTAAATGATTTTAGATGAATAAATAAAATGTTAGGCTTTTAGTTAAAATATCAAAGTTCCATCTGCATTGTGATTTATTTAAAAAAGTATGATTTAGATTTTTATATTTGAAATAAAAATCTACAAATACATGCTAAAATCAAAAAGTTGGATGAAACTGAATATGAAAGAACTTTTGTGAATTAATGTTTGAATAATATGTAATTTTATATTTTAATAAAACAACCACTTCAAGTTATAAATTGTATATCCTTCACAATTTAATTAAATATCAGATGTAAATTATAGCCTAAATGACTAACATAAGAAGAAATAAATATTATAAATATCTGAATAAGAACAGATCTATCTATAAACAACTTTTTCACACTCCTTTGTTTGCCTAATATAGTAAATGGAGATTTTTTGTTTTGATTTTGTCTGCTGTTGATGGATTGAGTGAAATCTCATTGTATTCAATGTAAATATTAATCCATTATAAATAAATGCTTTTATTCCACCATATTATCAGCTTCTTAAACTAAAGAACAAGTTGCAGTCAATAAATTAATCACATCTCTCTCTCTCTCTTGAATAATACTCCAGTATTTTTTGTTGAGCTGGCCACCAAAGAAAAACAATTCCAACCGCAACAATTACGGAAAACGTTACAAGCGTTTATTTAAATACCTAATGGGTTGATAAGTATATATCGGAACCTTCCGGATCCACCACCTATCTTTATTGAATTGTACTTATTTTAATTACGAACATCTTTTTTATTTATATTTTTAAAATTACGGTGGCCATTAAAGTATACACGTTTCGACTTTACAGTATAAAACTATACATTATTCTTTCCTAACAATTTTTTTTCCGGTTTTCCAAGTTTCATCCTCTCCTCTCTCTTTCTCTCGGTCCGCTTTTAGCATCTACAGTTTCTCTCTCCTCTACGCCGGAGAAAAACCGATTTCTCCGGCCGTTAACCGGTGAATAGATTCCGTTTCACCTCGAGAGCGCCTCCGTAAATCTCTTCCTTCTGGTGGATAGTGTATGTGGTGATTTTGGTGTTTGTTTGACGGCGATTCGGATCTCCGCGTTTGACTCGGTCCTGACTCGTTTCGCGGCGTTTTCGTAGAATGTGGCTCGCGGTGTTTGCATGCCAGGCTTTGTATTGAACTCGCTGCTCGAGATCGTGATCTAGGGTTTCGTCTCTGTTCTTTTGTTCGTTGCTTGTTGCGGTTGGTTTGTGTAATCCGTCGAGAAAAAAAAACGGAGGCTCACGGAGATAGGTTACGGAATGCTATGGTGAGATTGATTTCCCCTCTCTCGTTACATAGGTTTCTAAATCAATTTTCTCCCTCGCATATAATCTTGTTTAGCTTGAGCCTCTCGTGAATTTCGTTGATATCGATTTCTCTAGATCAGATCTCATACATTGCTTGAATTTCATCTTGATTTTAACGTTTTGGATTCGTGACTTCATCATCGGTTGAGGATAATCTCTCACACGTTTCTTTTTTATTTTGGTCACACGTGTGAAACTCAGATTTGATGAGCTCTGTTGAAATTGCGACGAATCGCTCTCTTTTTAGGTCAAACAATAATTGTGTGTTTGTAGAGGAAGGTTTCGATGGTTTCTGACTCGCTTTCTGGGACGGTGTTGAAAGTTGACTTTGTAGGGGTATTGGTCAAAGAGATAAGGCGGTTATGTGGTAGTGAAAATGTTTATGCCTTTTCAAACTTCTAGGTGTTGACTGTTTCTAACTTCTGTGTTCACTTTAGTCATCTTAGCTTTTCTCGAGTTTAATATTTTTGTATCTATTAGTGTGAATGGTGGTGGACCTAATTGTACATCTATGACTCCCAGTTTATGTATATGACTAGCTGACGCTTGTTTTTTTTGGCAGGCGGAAAGGAGGAGTTGCTTGTCGAAAGAGGCTAAAGATGGGTTAGAATATCTGAAACGTAAAAGGCTTCAAAAGATGAGATCAGACTCTGTCAATGAAACAGTAGACTTCAGCACAATGGCTAGAAGTGGTGGTGATGCTTTGAGACCTTCTTTAGCGTCACGTGGAATCAGATTACGTGTAACTTCTAGTGGTGCAGTACCTACTGCTGGTAAGGGTGCCTTTTTGAAGGAAAAATTGGACAAGTTTGAGGGGGATGATCTAAGATGGACCGAGAGGGTTCCTGAATGTCCTGTCTACAGACCAACAAAGGATGAGTTTCAGGATCCTTTGACTTATCTGCAAAAGATTTTCCCAGAAGCTTCAAAATATGGTAAAATTGACATCAAAAGTTCTCATTACGAAAGGACTAGTGCTGTATTAATTTTTGGCTGCATCTGTTAGCTGAAGCGATATAGTAGTCCCAGCCTCTAACGGAGGTTCAACTGTAAACAATTTCATTTTGTTTTTTTGTCCAATTTCTGATTCTGCTTGTTTCTGGCAGGTATTTGCAAGATCGTATCTCCTTTGACACCAACAGTTCCTGCAGGCGCTGTGTTGATGAAAGAAAAATCAAATTTTAAGTTCACTACCAGAGTGCAACCCCTTCGTCTTGCTGAGTGGGATTCGGATGATAAAGTTACATTCTTCATGAGTGGGAGGTTTGTAATTAGCCCTGAATTATTTACCTCACACCATTTTATAGATTTTATTTGACTATTTGTTAACTTCTCAGGAACTATACATTCCGCGATTATGAGAAAATGGCCAACAAGGTATTTGCACGTAGATATTGCAGTGGTGGCTCTCTGCCCGACTCATTCCTGGAGAAAGAATTCTGGAAGGAAATCTTGTGTGGCAAGACTGAATCAGTTGAGTATGCCTGTGATGTAGATGGTAGCGCATTTTCATCTGCACCAGGTGACCCGCTAGGAAGCAGCAACTGGAACTTGAATGTATTGATTTACCTCAACTTTAGCTTTTGTGTTTTCTTTGCATTAAAGAAAACATATGCCTGGTTATTTAAGTTTGGAGGTTATATTTCTTTTGTGTCTCTACTTTCAGAAAGTTTCAAGGCTGCCGAAGTCTATCCTGCGCCTTCTTGAAACATCCATTCCGGTATGTCAGAAGTAGTACAGTTACATTAAGTTAACATAAGAAGTTTCTGTTTATCCTCTTTTAACTTTGGATTTTTCTTGTTTCAGGGAGTCACTGAACCGATGCTTTACATCGGAATGCTGTTTAGTATGTTTGCCTGGCATGTTGAGGACCATTATTTGTACAGGTAAGTTAAACAAAATCTTGGCTATAGTATATGGTTACTAAAGCATGGCCGTCTAAAGTGTTATAATATACTCTCTTTACCCTTTTTCTTTAAACAGCATCAATTATCAGCATTGTGGAGCATCGAAAACATGGTATGGGGTTCCAGGATCTGCAGCGCTAAAATTTGAAAAGGTGGTCAGAGAGTGTGTGTACAATGATGATATTCTATCAACTTGCGGAGAGGATGGAGCCTTTGATGTGCTTCTAGGAAAGACTACTATATTCCCACCTAAGATTCTTTTGGATCATGATGTGCCGGTGTACAAGGCTGTACAGAAACCTGGAGAGTTCGTTGTAACATTCCCTAGGGCTTATCATGCGGGTTTCAGCCACGGTACAACATAGATCTCTAAATTTACATTTTTATTGGTCAGAGAGTGGATATAATATTCATCTGAGTATACGGCTGTGTTTGAAAAAATGTTCTAGGTTTTAACTGTGGTGAGGCAGTGAACTTTGCAATGGGTGACTGGTTTCCTTTTGGAGCTATTGCTAGTTGCCGGTATGCTCATCTTAACAGACTGCCATTGCTTCCTCATGAAGAATTGATTTGTAAGGAGGCAATGCAGTTAAACTCAAGTCCCAAACCCGAGAATCTGGATTTTACACCTGCGGAATTGGCAGGGCAACGAAACATCAAGACTGCCTTTGTTCACCTGATTCGTTTTATTCATCTGGCTCGATGGTCTCTAATGAAGTCAGGATTATGCACAGGCCTTGTTTCGAATACATATGGAACCATCGTATGCAGTATGTGTAAACGGGATTGCTACTTGGCGTTTATAAACTGCCATTGCTACTCACATCCTGTCTGTCTTCGTCATGGTAAAGCCTTTCCTCTGTTGTTTCCATCAGCACACATCCTTCACTTTTCTTTATTTTATTGACGTTCTTATTGTCTCATTGTCTAGATGTTAAAAAGCTTGACCTTCCATGTGGGTCAACACGCACTCTTTTCTTGAGGGATAACATTGAAGACCTGGAAGCTGCTGCAAAGAAGTTTGAGAAAGAAGATGGAGTCTCAGAGATGACTACAGCTGACGAAGAGTTATACACATATCCATCGTCAGTCACTCTTTCAGCTGCAAAAGAAGATGGATATTCACCGTCTTCCACTATATACTTTGACTTCAAAACCGAGTTAGAGATGACATCTGGAAATCCTGTCATGAGCTACGAAGCAAATGCTCCATGTATATCCTCGGTTACTGATGATTACGTAAGTTTCTGACCAAGAACTCCCAACAAAACAAACACTCCTTAACCGTCTCTTTTCTAAATATTTGATTTTCTGTTTTGGTTACAATGGCAGGTAAATAGACGAGCTAACTGTAGTAGCAGTAGTGATTCTAAGCCCCTAGAAGAAGTAGCAAGCAGCAGTAACAAGAAAACTCGGTTCTTCTCTGCGGTTAAAGATGAACCCATAGTGACGGATCAGGAAAGTGACGGTTCTGATTCCGAGAGTTTCAGAGTCAAACGCCGTTCAGTGAAATTGGAAAACCGAACAGTTGTTCTGGAGACAAGAGACTCTGGACATCATCAGGTATGGAAAATCACATAATATTTACTGTTATCATGAATTAAACTAACCGGGAAGTTTATCTTTGTTATATGGGAATAGGATCTTAAAAGATTGAAGAGACCGCAGAACTACCACGAAGGAAGATGTAGTGCTAGTATCAATAGTATAAGTAAGCAAGAAGAAGAAATGGTGTTAGTAATATCAAACAGAAAGGAAACTGATGAGCAGCAAAGTGACGTCATGATGATGAAGAATGAGAATCAGTTTGTTGGTGGGTTTAAACGTCTGAAAGTGAAAGGGTTGATAAAGCCGTAACGTGACAGACAGCTTCAACTTCCTCCTAACTACAATTATTTTAATTTTGCTGATCTCTAACTCAATACAGGGAAAGAAAAAGGGGAATCAAAAGCAAAATATTCGGTTATCTGATTTTTATATTTTTTCTATTACGGGAAGAAGAAAGAAGACGAAAGAAGCAACAACAGAGAAGCATTAACAAAAGCCAACCTACAACCAAGACTATTGGTTTCTTTTTTAGGATTTACCAAATCTTTGATTCTTTGTGTACATCCATCTGTACACCTTTAATCTCTTTCATGTTCCTTCTTCTTTTCGTCTTTTATGATGTAAATCTCTTCTTTTGTTCTCAACAGAAATGGTTTAGTTTTTTTTTCCCTTACGATGGCTTTTGTTACTGTTGATGATGATGCGTAGACCCTCATGATTTTTTTCTCCTTTTCGAGAGTTCCAACTCTTAGCATGTGATAATGACATCTTCTAAAGTTGTCTACATTTTTCTGAAAAATATTATGTTTTTTCACCAAGTGATATTCAAATGTTTACTAGCCATCTTATTGGTACAAATCTAAAACTATTAAAATAGATATACAAATAGAAAATATCCCATAATTTTCTTCAAAATTTACAAATTTAAGTCACTGTAATTAAAACATAGTAATTTTGATTAATGTCTAACTATTTAAAAATGTTTTCATCAGTCCATGGATAGCTAGCCTATTATGTGGTAACAATTTAAAATACAGATATGCCATCTTTCTGAGATTCCAACTCTTAGCATGTGATAATGACATCTTCTAAAGTTGTCTACATTTTTCTGAAAAATATTATGTTTTTTCACCAAGTGATATTCAAATGTTTACTAGCCATCTTATTGATACAAATCTAAAACTATTAAAATAGAAATACAAATAGAAAATATCCCAGAATTTTCATCAAAATTTACAAATTTAAGTCACTATAATTAAAACATAGTAATTTTGATTAATGTCTAACTAAAAAATGTTTTCATCAGTCCATGGAATTTTGCTGGGTGATAGCTAGCCTATTATGTGGTAACAATTTAAAATACAGATTTGATATAAAAAATATATATAATTAAAATTGTTGACAATTAAATATAATTTAAATTAATACAATCTATTGTATGTAAATAATGGCAAATCTCCAAAATAACACTTTTCTAAGTTTATGTCACAAAAATAGTATTCAAAAACTAAAATAACCGAAATAACATTTTATCTTTTGAAAATTTTAAAAATATTTTATTTTTAAAAAATTAAAATCTTATCCCAAAACCCCACTTCCCCAACTCTAAACCCTAAAACCTAAATTCTAAACTCAAACCCTAAACTTTAAGGGAAATTGCCAGAAATAACACTTTCAAGATACCACTTTTCAACTTTACACTAACCAACTTTACCATTAAAATTTTAATACTCAAAATACTATTAGAATTTAGGGTTTAGGGTTTTGGGTTTAGGATTGATAGTTTAGGGTTTAGTGTTGATTTTTTAGGGTTTAGGGTTTATTTTTTAGGGTTTAGAGTTTAGGGTTTAAGGTTTAGAATTGATATTTTAGGGTTTAGGGTTTACTTTTTAGGGTTTAGAGTTTAGAATTGATGTTTTAGGGTTTAGGGTAATATTTTATTTAATATTTATTTTATGTATATATATAAAGAACAAAGATATAAGAGTCTTTTATCCTTTAATAAAATGTGTATGGTAAACATGAAAAGTGGTACCACCAAAGTGGTATAATTGAAATTCTCCCAAACTTTAAATACTAAGCCCTAATTCCCATTCCTTAACTCTAAACTCTAATGTATAAATTAATTTATTATTGGGATATAGATGTATATTTATCTCTTTTGATAAAACATTAAGTGATATTTTGATCATTTTTATTCTTTAGTGCTATATTTGTGACAAAACGTTTTTAGTGCTATTCTAATCATTTTCTTAAAAAAACTAGTGACATGGTATATTAATATTTTAGCAAAAAGACATGGTATATTAATACATAATTCTAATTTTTGACCCAATCTAATTATCTAAATGATTAATCACTCATACAATAAAAGATATATATAACACAATACAAAAATATAAAAGTAATTTATGGTAGGAATAATAAACTAAAATCTAACAAATGAAACCATTATATGAAACCATTAAATTTTTGTGTTTTGAAATGCTTATGTAATTATAAAAAAATCAGCCGTGCAGCACAGATCAAAATTTAGTTAGTTGTTAACTAGTGTAACAGCTAAGAAGTTGACCATATTATAATACACATGTGACAAGTTGTTTTCAGTAATATCGTTGACCATATCTTAATAATTCAAAAATATCCAGAATATAAAAGAAACGAGGATATATAATGTTTTTTCGACAAATATTTCCATTAATTTAAAAACAAATGAGGACAACATATACAGGGGAACTGAAACTTTTTTTTCTATTTCGACAAATACTTCATGGAGAATTTCAATTATACCACTTTGGTGGTATCATTTTTCATGTTTACTATCAACAAAGGAACATTTTCAAAAATACACATTTTATTAAAGGATAAAATACTCTTATATCCTTGTTCTTTATATATATACATAAAATAAATATTAAATAAAATATTAACCCTAAACCCTAAAACATCAATTCTAAACTCTAGACCCTAAAAAGTAAACCCTAAACCCTAAAAATCAATCCTAAACCCTAAAATATCAATTCTAAACCTTAAACCCTAAACTCTAAACCCTAAAAAATAAACCCTAAACCCTAAAAAATCAACACTAAACTCTAAACTATCAATCATAAACCCAAAACCCTAAACCCTCAATTCTAATAGTATTTTGAGTATTAAAATTTTAATGGTAAAGTTGGTTAGTGTAAAGTTGAAAAGTGGTATCTTGAAAGTGTTATTTCTGGCAATTTCCCATACTTCAATTATGAAAATTTGAACTCTCTAAAAGCATCCCCAAAAATATTCTTTATTTTATAATTTACAAAATTTTATATTTGAAGTTTAAAACTGTTATGTTCCAAAAACAAAACTTCAAATTTAACTCCAAAATTATTTGTATTTTATACTATAATCCTTATATTTCTCATAAATAATTTAAATTCATAAAAAATATAAATAATTATCACAGATACAAATATTACAGCAATATTAACTGATAAAATGTTACACTAAATATAAAATTATAAATAGAAACATATAATTAAATATTAAACTACAAACAAAATATCACATTATATCTTGTAATATTGTCGTTGCATAGTTCTAGTTTTAAAATATTTTAAAACTTATTTTGATATTATTTTTCGTAAAAAGTATTATGTAAATTTTAAATTTACAAATAATTTTGAAATAATTATGAGATAAGAGTTTTTAAGGATTTAAACAATAAATAACAAAACAATTAAGAATTATAAATATGATATGTAATTGTAAGGACCATACTGCAAATAAAATATAAAACTTCAAATTTAAAATTTTGATTAGTGAAATTCTATATTTGAAGTTTCACTACTCAAAATTTCAAATTTGAAGTTTTAGAGTTTTTTTGGAGAACCAAAAACTTCATATTTGAAGTTATAGAGTGTCTTTTGGAGATGCTCTAAAAATAATCTTATGTGATGTTTTTTTTTAAATATGTAAAATTTAAATTTATAAAATAATTTGAAATAATTATGAGATAAAATATTTTAAGGATTAAAACGATAAAAACAAAATATTTAAGAATTATAAATATGATGTGTAATTGTAAGGACGATGATGCTAATAGAATATGAAAACTCAAATTTGAAGTTTTAAATAATGAAACTTCAAATATAGAGCATCACTATCCAGAACTTCTAATTTAAAGTTTCATATTTTTATTTATATTTTGGTCTTGAAAATTACGTACCATATTTATTATTCTTAAATATTTTGTTATTTAACATTTTAATCCTTAAAATTCTTATCTCATAAATATTTCAAAATTGCTTTTGTAAATTTAAATTGGGTTTTCTGCGAAAAACCCTCAATGTGAAATTCAAATTGGGGTTTCTGAAAAAAAACCCTCAATGTGATTTTTTTGCAAATTAATCCGCGAACTCAAAAATCCACGGGTCAACGTTCCAAATGCCAATCAAACCGAAATATAACCCTTGGTCGTATATATGTGTATTTGACTGTGTATAATTTTAACATTCTTTGATAATATGTCGTAATTACACTAATTTTTAATGTAAAAAAAATTAATTTGCAGAACCTAGGGTTTGAACCTTGAACCTTAAACATAAAAAAGTTGCATAAAAAACCTTCAAAATGACATTTATTAACACTTTAAACCTTGAACTATTTTCACTTGCACTTTAAACCTTCAAAGTAACATTTATGTCACAAAAAACCTTGAACATGAAAATCTGACCTGTTGAACAAGTAAAACATGTAATCTATCAGTTTTTCGAAAAAGAAATATTTAATAAATAATCAAAAAATAAATAAAAATCAATTAAATTTTCAAAAAATAAAGAAAATTTCAGAACATAAAGAAAAATTTATATAAAAATAATTTAAAATATCAAAAAATAAGTAAAATTCTGATATTTTTTTTTAAAAAAGAAAGAAAGTTCACAAAATTAATTTATCAGGTTTTTCCCGAGAAATAAATATTTAATAAATAGAAATTTAATAAATAATCAAAAAATAAATAAAAAATCAATTGAATTTTCAATTTTTTTTTAAAAAAAATTCATAACATAAAGAAAATTTATAAAAAATAAATTGAAATACCAAAAATTAAATAAAATTCAGAAAATTAAACAAAAATTAAAGAAAATTCAGAAAATTGAAAACTCAAAAGTTTAAGATAGTTTTTAGAAAATTACAAGATTAGGTTTTTAACTATTTGAAACCATCAACTTCAACAGTGATATGTTTGAAATTTTTATTGTCAACGATGATATGCGAGTTTTATTGGAAAATTGCATAAAAATTAGACGATTACTTCTTTTCAAAAATCTGAAACAGTATAGTTGAGACTAAAAATTTCAAATATATCACTATTGACGATGATGGTTTCAAACAGTGTTCAATTTTTGTTAAAATGTTTCGTTATGTTCTAAATTTTTCTTTAATTTTTTGAAAGGTAATTTAATTTTTGATTTTTATTTAATTTTTGTTTGGTTTTGTGAATTTTCTTTTATTTTTAAAATTTTCAGAATTTATTTAATTTTTGGTATTTCAAATTATTTTTTTTATAAATTTT